AGTAACAAAAATAATAAACCAAATGTTAAATTTATGTTCCGTATTTGCTTCCGTAGTACAAAATCAATGTCGTCAAAAACTGAAGTACCATCATCGATTCATTCTTTTTGTTTCGTATAAATAATAAACAAATAACAATATCCAAATGAAGAAAATTAAATAATACGCGTTAAGGTGATTTTTTGCATGCAATTTCAAAGTATTTTTATTTTTAGAATTAACTTTTTACAATGACGCAAGCAAGAACTATTCGCTGATTTCTTTATTGTTTAAACGTTATCGTCGAAAGATTTGTGATATAAACATCTGAAAAAATATTGGTTATATATAAACCTACCTAGATTTTAAGTAAGAACATTGTACTTTACCCCCAAACGGTTAAGATGTATCAAAACGAAGGTTGTTGACAGCCGTTTTAGATTCAATATGGGCGCCGCCATGCTTATTTTCCGTGACGTCACAAACAATGCGCGTGAAATCTACTGGTATGATAGCGTAGTTGGAGCAAGTTTTAAAATGGAAAAAATCACTACATAAAACCGCTTTTATCTTTTTAATTGCAAATGCAAATATTCGGGACTTTTTATGATAAGCACTTAAGATTAAGTTCTTTCGTGAGGTGTTGATAAAAATTCTTTTGCAATTAGTTTTAGGTGTATCTTTATATTGACCAGCCTATTTCCCCAAAATAGTGCAGCAGTAGTCCAAATATAGCAGTTTAAATGCATTGAAAAAAATTTTCTAGCATGAAGATCAAGATACTGTTTAAATCTAAGAAGCAAATAGAGCTGTTGATTGCATTTTAAAATTATTTTTTTTTGAATGTGTGTTTTCCATTTTAAATTTTTGTCATTAAAGACTCATTGTATTTTTTTCACCGTCAGTAAATTCTATTTTAGATTGTGAATGTGCAGAGAAGGTGTTGAAGAATGCTCAGGTTTTAAATGCTTTATTTAGAAAAATTCATAGCTTTAGTTTTTAGCGCATTTAGTACCATTCGATGTTGCACACACGATGTGCTTTTACTATCAAGATCTGACTGAAGATTTTCTTCTACTTCCCTTACAGTATTTCAGTTGAAGTTAGAGAAGTGTCGTCTGCAAACATATCAGTATTTTACTTTTTTAAAAGGAAGATGAATGCCATTTATGTAAATTAAGAATAGTAGGATCCCTAGGACTGAGCCCTGGGGTTCTCCGGAGACAACTTCAGCAGATTCAGACAAAACACCAGACATATTTACTTTTCCTGACTTGTCTGACAGATATGATGTAATCCAAGTAAAAGTGTGTGACAAAAGATGATAAAAAGGTAGTTTTCCAAGAAGAATTTTGTGATTAACTAAATCAAAGGTTGTTTGTTTCCAAAAAGAGCTTCAATTGGTCAGACACGTGATTTTCAAATATTTTTGAGATAAGTGGGAGTACTGTAATAAATTGGTCTATAGTTGTTTTTGTCAAATTTGAGTCCTTTCTTGTAGATTGGTGTTACCTTTCATTGTTTTAACTGTGTAAGAAATTTTCAATACTTAAATTTATTATGTTACAAACAGGTTTGTCTATGACACTTGCTGCAGTTTTTAGATATTTTGCACTAATGCCATCTAAGCCTGTTGCTTTCGATATATCAATACTGTTCAGTTTATTGTTTCACATAACTTATTTGATGGTTAGGAAACTACCCGCCTATATGACTGAAATACTGTTGGAAAAAGGCGTAAAATGAAACAAACAAACAAACAAACATAACTTATTTCAACAAAAGAGGTTTTAAATTTATTTGGTTGATTTGCGCTTTCAGATTTGAAAGATTCTTGAAGAGCAATTTTCGTTTCATGTGATAACTCAGTTATATTTTCAGTTTTTTTAAATACATTTTAAAAAGCGATGTTATATGTTTCTGCTGTTAAATTTTATGAGTTATTGGCAAACAATTTCTATCATTTATATAGGATGTTTGTTGAAAATCTTGTTTTCCTGATAAACTTTTCACGTTTTTCCAATTTTTATAAGATTTTTCTTTTTTAAATTTATCTCATGATTTAAAAAAAATCTGTTTTTGCTAAATGTATAAGTTTTTTCACTTGTGTCTGTCTTCCAGTACTTGAAGTCATCAGCATTATGCTTATTATTTGCATAGACCCTATAATGTATTGCATTAGCTATATCTTCATTGGACCAATCAGCTTGATTTTTATGTTTAACTCTTTTTTGTTTGAAAGGAGCACGTCTGTTTGAGTTTCTAAAAAATGTTAAAGGTGTCTAAAGCATCATCTGGATCATTACACATATCAAAATAAGACCATGGTTGTTTTGACAAAACATTGAGGAATGTTTCAGCATTAAATGTCTGTAAAGTACCTGTATTTGATTATATTATGCATTTGACCCTTTTTAACATTTGTTCGTCTAGTGAGAATTTTTGTAAATGATCACTATAGTACAGATACTACTGTGTATGAGATATTGAAGTGCCCCCGTATTTAATGGTAACTGATACTTACCTGGTGATTTTCATCTATTCTGTGACCTTTTGTTATTTTTTCTTTTTGTAACGATAAAAAGTTTTGCAGCTTTCGCTGGCTTCCTGTATAAATCAAGACAGTTGGACTGTTTAAATATTCAGCTCAACTTGCCTTATCTATGCGTTTTGCCAGGATTTCTTAGTTTTTACATCGCACTGTCTCCGTTCAAAAATGTAAAGTGTTTGTATTTTCACATTTGCTGCTCCGTTTATCCTAGTCCGTGAAGTTGTTGTGATAAATCCAGTTCAAATCGTTAATGACATATGTTTTCTTTTATTGTGTGAAGTAACTTGTTTAAAATCCATGTTAAACCATTCAAATTATTGATTTAATTTGTAATTATTGGCACATTGTTGTTGTACAGGAGGCGGCCATTTTGGTATGACAACTTCCGGTTGTATTGCTACGGACGCCGGTGCGCTAAGGATATTTTTCCGTATTGTTTACACTGTCTTGATTTGAGTATATATAGCTATGGCCAGTTTGTTAAACTGTAGAAAACGTCCTTATCATGTAATTATATTCAATCTTACATTTCTATCCTTATTTTAGTGTTTACTCGGTATGATTATTCAAGATTTTAAGTTTCCATCACTGCTGCAGTAGATGCGCGCTTTTGCTACGTCATTAATGCTGCATTGATGCGTTCTTGCTACATGTATATGCTACAAGAATGATGCATTTATGCATCATTTTGTTGCATGCTACATCGGTAGCACTTAGTTTTGTATAAATACCAGACGTCTTGCTGCATTCTGGGACTTCAGATATTATTTCGGCCTGGGCACCCGTTACTCTAGTAGCTATATTTCAAAACAATTTAAAGCAGTTATTTTTCTAAAAGGTTAGTGTGACTTAACAAAATAGCGAATAGACACTTGACAAAAATCATTTATAGTACATTTTTCTTGGTTTAATAAAAGATTTTATATCTTCAAAGAAATATTTTTGTAAGAGAAATCTTATAATGTTTTTGTAGATTTCTCATTGATAAGCTATAATAGTTTTTCTAAATATCTTTGAATAAACTTGTGCATTTTAAATCATTTATTACATTGCCATATGATTTTGAGGCTTGTAAGTTCTATATACAGTGAACAGTAAATTATAAGTTATAAATATACTTGCACAAGGGTTAAGCATTTCAGTAAATATAGTGGTTAGCCATAGGTTGGTAGATAATTTAATGAGTGTTAATTATGTTGTTAAAATATGAAACTTTGTTATTAATTTATGAGCATGTTCTGATTGCTTTAGATTTAACAGACAATTAAATTGATTATACTTTATCAAGTGCTTGTCTTTTGTCATTGTGTACAAAAATAGATTTTAATTATTATTTACCCATACTGGTTGAGACCCCCCTTTATTGAGTACTGAAGTCCATAGCCCATTTGTTTGCCCTTCACCCTGAAGCCTAAGTCCTGTATCCCGACAATATTGCAAGGGACTCGGAGCATTGGGATAACCAGCCTTGTGAACTGAACAGTATAAGTGGAGCTGATACCAAGGTCGAGCACACATACACTCAGTCATCCTGACACTACATTGCCTAAAGCATATTGTATTTTGCAATACCAAGGCCATCAGGACGCAAGGACCGCTAGCACGTAACATATATTTAATAAGTGGAGCTGATATCAAGGTCGAGCACTCACACACTCGTTCATCCGGACACTAAATTGTCTATAGCATATTGTGTTATACAATACCAAAGCCATCAGGACGCCAGGATCGCTAGCGCGTAACATATTTTTGGTGTCAGAAGTGGTATCCTTGATTTTTAAAGGATCCAGTGATACAAACCCGCACGCAAGAGCTCGATATGATGTAAAATTATATACCAGGGGATAATGAAGGGGAGGTATTTTTTCGACGACAAGATCATGAAGGATCAACCCATAGCGGATTGTCTAGAGCGAGCAGTTTACGAACATTGTCCGACAACGAGGGGTCTTTAACAATTCGGCCATATGAAGGACAAGCGACAAATCCAGGCGCATCAAAATATACAGATGCTGCGGCAAATACTTCACCATTTGTCGCAACTGATCAGTAACAAGCAGGGTCTGATAGAATGATTAACGAAATAACGGGGGTGCTGAAAGAGGTGGTCGTCGAACTTAAGAACTTGAAGCACCCAGCTCAGCAAAATGGAGTCCCCACTTCTATTCATCGACAAACCGATCCAGGTCGAAGAGATTACGAGCTTCATAGGCGCCAAGACCGTAATACTTGGAATGATCATCAGTATCCCTACGGGAGAGCTGAACCAAGAAGATATGGGCATGATTATAATTTCAACTCGGCGGAGCCCATGATGGATGTTGCTCCCAGAAGACCTTACGCGAGGGAAAGCGTGATCCAATCAGATAGGAGGTATGCGTCCAGAGCTAGGTTGCCAGATACAGTAAAGATACCATCATTTACAGGTTACCGGGGCACATTATAAGACTATGAAGAGCTTGTTAGAGAGATGAACAATCGATTTCGTGTAGTTGAAACTACCCGATCCTTTGCAGCCAAGATTAGTCGCAGAAATCAGAAGTCAGGAGAGAATGTCGAAGATTATGCAGCTGACCTGAAAATCATTTACGATAAAGCTCATGGGTATCGCGATAGGCGAACCAGGGAAGAAGACCTAGTCAGGAGGTTTCTTGATGGACTTCGCGATGAAGAGGTACGGTTCGAAATTGAATTCCATAAGGAGCCCGAAACAATTGACGAAGCGGTATACAATGTTGTCAATTTTGTGCAGACACAAAACAGTGTAGGCTCTGACAGGAGATATAGGGCTGCGAGGCGTGCAATACAGAAAAGCGAGGACTCAGATATCGACTTTGGAAGTCCGAGCGAGAAGTTTTGTAGGGTTCCGGAGAAAGTACTGCCATGGTCTAGACCTCCGACTGAAAGCGATAGAAGTCAATCAACCAGTAGCAGTAGTCGGCAAGTCCAAAATAAGCAGGAGGAGATTTTGACTAGCATTTTGGAAAGACTTGATAGGTCGGAAGGGACAGGTAGATCTGCAGCTCAGCAGCCTAAAAGAGACCAGTTACCCCAAAGCAGTAACTCAGTGGAGTGTTATTTCTGTCATGCCATGGGGCACAACGCGAGGAAATGCCCTCAAAAGAGACAAAGGGTAATGTTGGGCCTTCGCATAATGTGAAAACAAGTGAAGGTACGGGTCAAAATGGTTCCGGTAATAAAGTGGATTTAAACTTCAAGGGACCAGCACCGGTGGCCGGGAGGCGGTCCAATTAGAGATAGAAGGCCATAATAGTATGGGGGCGTGGAAGAAACTGAGGATAAAGTAAAGTTAGGGAGGAAAAATAGGACTGCGAAGCGAAGGTTAAGTGAAGATTTGTATGTAAACGGATCCATACAAGGGGTTAACATCCTGTTCACAGCGGACACAGGGGCTGTCAGGACTGTGATATCTCCTAGGGTGTTCGAGGCTATGGATAAGGGCGTAAGGCCTTAGTTAATTAAGTCTGGTAACTTTCGCGGAACAAATGGCTTACCGATAGAGGAGTACGGAAAGGCTGAATTTACTTTGAAGCTCGGCAGTTACGAGCTTACTCATGAGGTTGTCGTGGCTGACATCGAGGATGATGTACTTCTTGGGTTTGACATTCTCATAGGTGGAGAGAAGGGACCGGCTGACCTTCTCTTGAGTAAAGGTTTGATAATAATTCAAGGGGTAGAAATACCATGCCAAAAGATTGGTGGGATGAAAGGGCCTAGGCGAGTGACTGTGGCCGATGATATAAGCCTTCCGGGTAGAGCTGAGACAAAAGTTGATGTTTTTGTCGAGAGGCTTGAGTATGATGATCTACTGAGGAATTGCGAATATCTAGTTGAACCAAATGAACATTTCTAAGAGCGATATGATTTACTGATGGCCTCAATACTGATCGATATTTATAGCGGTCCCACCTGTAAGGTGCAAATAATGAATCCTTTTCCGGTAGATGTAACTTTGAAGCAGGATGCTTGAATTGGCGAGGCTGAGCAAATTGAGAGGATAGTGAGCGTGCTAGCGGAGAGAAAGCTTGATGATGAGGAGGAAAACCTGAATAGAGTTCGAAGAGTGGGTCCGAAGGAGAACAGTGATCCGGGTGTAAGGGCCAATGCCGAGGAGATGAAAATAGGTGATGTACCAGTCCACCTATTGGGCCTTTATGAGAAAGCGACAAAAGGCAAAAGCACCCATGAGAAGGTTCGGGTTAAGAACCTCCTGTGCAAGCATAACGATACATTTCCTAAGGATGACTGGGACTTGGGAGTTACTTCATTGGTCGAACATTCCATTGAAACGGGTGACGCAGCGCCAGTTAAGCAGAGACCAAGACGTGTGCCCTTGGCATTTGCTGCAGAAGAAAAGGCCGCGGTTGAGGACTTGCTAAAGAAAGGCGTCATCCGGAAAAGCACTTCGCCTTGGGCGAGCCCAATTGTATTTGTGCGTAAGAAGTCTGGTGCTGTTCGTCCGTGCGTGGATTATAGAAAGGTTAACGCACTTGTCAAGCAAGATGCCTTTCCACTGCCTAGAGTCCAGGACTGCCTGGATGCAGTGGCAGGTATGAGCCTCTTTAGTTCTTTTGACTTGACCTCGGGTTACTTTCAGATCCCCCTCAAGAAGGAAGATATTCCCAAGACCGCCTTTACATGCAAGTATGGACTGTTTGAAATGACCAGGATGCCGTTTGGCCTAAGCAACAGCAGCAGTACTTTCCAAAGGACGATGGAATTGGTACTGAAAGATCTTCAATGGCAAACTTGTCTTGTGTATGTCGATGACATTATTGTCTACAGTGCCAGCTTTGATGAACATATGTGTCGTGTTGATACGGTTCTTTCAAGAATAAATAGTGCGGGATTGAAGCTTCGTCCGGAGAAATGCCATCTGCTTCAGACCGAAGTAACCTTCCTTGGTCATATAGTATCTAAGGATGGCGTGAGACCTGACCGGACAAACGTCGCAAAGTGGCGGACTGGCCTAGGCCATCAACTGCTAAACAAGTAAAGCAGTATGTTCCGACCGCGTCTTATTACAGGCGCTTTATTAAAGACTTTGCGAAGATTGCCAAGCCGTTGACAGAGTTAACTAAAAATGATACAGTGATCAATTGGACCTCTGAGTGCCAAATGGCCTTTGAAACTTTAAAGGCAAAGCTCACAGGTGCTGACATCATGGGCTACCCTTTAAATGAAGGAGGAGACTTTTACCTAGATGTGATTCGTCGGGGTTGGGCAGGGAGGAGTGTTGTCACAGCTGCAGTCTGGTTGTGAAAGAGTCATTCCCTATGCCAGCAGGTCAATGATCAAGGCCGAGCGTGATTATTGTGTAACGGAAAAGGAGTTGCTTGCTGTAGTGTATTACATTCTGTATTTCAGGCAATATTTGCTAGGTAGGAAATTTATCGTGAGAAGTGATCGCCAAGCCCTAGTATGGTTATTTAGCCTGAAGAACCAAGTAGGAAATCGCAAGGTGGATAGAGATACTCGCCGCGTACCAGTTTTCGATCCAGTACAGACCTGGTCGACTTCAATCACATTGCGATGCACTATCCAGATGCGAAGATCCAAGGGCATGCACTTGCAGCGAAATTGATACTAGTGAGCCATTAAAGTGCAGGCCTTGCAGTAAATGCCGTAGGCGGGCAGATCTAATGGAGTTGTCCTGGCCAGAGTTAATAGATAAGCCATTATGAGGTCAAGTTAAACAGGAAAGCATATCTCAAAAGCCAGACACGTCCATGGCACAGGTCAGGGCTACGGTTGACAAGAAGGTAGAAAGGCACGTGCCGTGGGCAGAAACAACCAGCGCGCAAGAGGTCGCAAAGCAACAGGAAATTGACCCAGATATTGCGACAGTATAATTATAAGGCAATGACAAATACGAAGCCAGGCAGTTCACAAATGGAGTCCAGGCGCCATGCAGCCAGACATTATGTGATGATCTGGGACTCTTTAGTGCTGTATCGTGGGGTTTTGTGCAAAAAGTTTGAGAAGCAAAATGGCACAGATATATACATGCAGTTAATAGTTCCGAGTTCGATGAAAAAACAAGTGCTAAAGCATGCTCATGAAAATTTATTGGCAGGTCACCTTGGTACCAAGAAGACCAAACACAGAATCTTACAAGGCTATTACTGGTTTCAACTGAAGGATGATGTCAAGCTCTTTGTCAGGGGTTGTGATATTTGTGCCGCCAATGCAGATCCAAAGAAGACACCAAAGGCTCCAATCGGGCAACTACCAAGTGGAGCTCCCTGGGACGTGCTTGCCATCGACTTTATGGGTCCTTTGCCGATAACCGAAAATGGCAACCGATATGTTGTGGTGCTCACTGACCACTTCGCGAAATATGCCGAGGTGTTTCTGGTTCCTTCTCAGCAGGTTGATGTTTGTGCATTGAAGATTGCAAATGAGTTCATTGCTAGGTGGGGATGTATATATATATATATATCTATATACAGTGAACAGTAAATTATAAGTTATAAATATACTTGCACAAGGGTATAGCATTTCAGTAAATATAGTGGTTAGCCATAGGTTGGTAGATAATTTAATGAGGGTTTATTAAATTGTTAAAATATGAAACTTTGTTATTAATTTATGAGCATGTACTGATTGCTTTAGGTTTAATAGAAAATTAAATTGATTTTACTTTATCAAGTCCTTGTCTTTTGTCATTGTGTACAAAAATAGATTTTTATTATTATTTAGCACCGCCTCCGTGGTCGAGTGGTTAGAGTCGATGACTTCTAATCCAGTTTTCTCTCTGGCGTGGGTTCGATCCCCGGGAGATGCTTTGGTAGTTTAGCGCGGAGGAAGGTAGTCAAGTACTGGTATAACTCTCCAGGAACGATGGTTAGGAAACTACCCGCCTATATGACTGAAATACTGTTGGAAAAAGGCGTAAAATGACACAAACAACCAACAAACAAAAATTATTATTTACCCATACTGGTTGAGACCCCCCTTTATTGAGTACTGAAGTCCATAGCCTATTTGTTTGCCCTTCACCCTGAAGCCTAAGTCCTGTATCCTGACAATATTGCAAGGGACTCGGAGCATTGGGATAACCAGTCTGGTGAACTGAACAATATGAGTGGAGCTGATACCTAGGTCGAGCACTCATACACTCAGTCATTCTGACACTACATTGTCTATAGCATATTGTATTTTGCAATACCAAGGCCATCCGGACGCAAGGACCGCTAGCACGTAACATATTTTTAATAAGTGGAGCTGGTATCAAGGTCGAGCACTCACACACTCATTACCCGGACAATACATTGTCTATAGCATATTGTGTTATACAATACCAAGGCCATCAGGACCGTTAGCGCGTAACAATATTTTGTGGTTGGTTACTATAGATATGGTCAATAATAGCTGATGCTGCTGGAATAACTCAAGCTGGCTGTATTATTAGTTGAAAAAGATTAAAAGTATTGATGGTATTGTTCCATGTTGTATTATTTGAGCCTATTAGCACCAGAATTGTAGTAAAGATCTCCAAAAAGAATAACTTTGTTGTCTTCAGTATATATTCTATCAAGGACCTCATCAATTTTACAATTCCACGAAGTTAATGATGAAGGTGGTCTGTAAATGTATCCTAACAATACATACTGTTGCTTGTCAAGTTTCATTGCAGGCCATATTGACTCGATATCATCAGACTGTAAGTCAACTCTTACTTCACATGACAATAAGGACTTGCACTTGCCATATAAAACGATTCCACCATCTTTTGATTTCCTGTCACGCCCAAAGAATTGGAAATTATGTAAAGTTAACTCTGAATCAGACAAAAACATCATTTAAAACGTTTCTTGAAGTCCTAATACATTGATGTCTGGATATGTGTCTACTATGTATTTGAAAGTGTACATTTTGGGATAAAATAGTGAATGTTTAAATGGAAAAAAAGTTTATTCCTTTCGTATCAAATGTTATTTCATTCAAAATGTGGAGTATATCAACTCCTTCATCACATTTTAATGAAGATAAGTTCTTCATGTCTCTGAGAGAGATTGTTTCCTTGTATCAATACAACTGATATTCTGTGTTGGTGACATGGGTTTCTGTGTTGGTAGACAGGTGTTTTCACTTACAGGAATTGATTTTGGGTTTCATTCTGATGATCTGAAGATATACTTTTGCTTTTTTAGAAGTTTTATCTTATGCTTAAAATAGTATATGTCAGATTTAACGGCAACATTTTCTGTTCTTCTATTAACCAGTTCAAGTGTGTTTCCAAATTTCTCTAATTGCTCTTTTATGGAAACAAGATATGACTGAAGTGTGTTAAAAGTATCTTGTTGTGACTGTTTCATAGAAGCCTGTTCTCGCAATACTTTAATTTCCCGTTTTAAGGATTGATTTGTCTGTCTTTGTTTCATAATTAATAGAAGATGTTTTTTGCATTTTGGTCACTTTTGAAGTCTTTTAAGTCTTTGATTGATGACTTAAGTTCTGCATTTTCAGTTTTGAGTATATTATTTTCGGTGAGACATTTGCTGCATTTTATGTTTAAGTTCTCTTGGAGTCACACTGCACAGAGAAATCACATTTTTCTAATAATGAACAAGTAAATGTTTCATTAGAGTAAGTGAGACGGATTTTACTGCTGTCTCTTCAGTACTTTTTGTCATATTTCTATAGTTCATTGGTATATTCCATTTTGATTGTCCAATGGTGTGTAGCCTTTGTTCAGGTTTCTTGCCAGTTTCTTGAATGATAGTTGATTGCCTGTTAAATTCTTGGTAATAAACCTTCTGCTCTTTTTTAGTTTTCTTAGCCTTTTACAATTCTTTAGCAAGTTTTAACATCCCACTGCTTATAGATGAGCCAAAGATTGCTCTAGACGCAGTACTTAAAAGACCAGTGGATTTTGATTTGGTGAGGTTCTTTCAAGGTGCCAGATAATGAATATTGATAGGAGATGGTGTCAGAGGAAGTGAATGGTGCTGTTTAGAGCCTGAGGCAACGTGGCTTGCATTTTTCGATTGGTGGTTGCAATGTTGCATACAGACTGTTTTAAGTCACATTTTATATGCTCGAGGACACTAGCCAGCCATTCCCTGCATCCAGTTCCTTTGATCAACATTTTCATTGTATTGTTATACACTGTAATAACAACTAGTATTGTCCTTTATAGGTTCTAATCGATACATAATCTTTAAAATGTGAACCATTTTTACATGTGTTGATTGTTGTAAAAATGTAAAAGAAATATTATTACTTGTTGGGCTGACATACAGATCAAACAGATTAACTGTTTAGTGTAGAAAAGTCATTGTTTGAAAATCCTTTAAAATCCTCCATATCCATTGATGAATGATTAGAAGCCATTATCACAGATTGTTGTTAACACTTTAGTCCATTTATTATTTAAAGCTATTTTAGCACCTTTTGTTAGCAAGATTAGTGGAACTTTTAGGTATTTTAAATGAGAATTGATATAAAATAAATGAACAAAACATAGTGGAACTGAATAGTTTTCATCCAATTATGAATTGTCTAATCACAAAAACATTGTAATGTTAATATTAAGATGCAGAATAGTCCAAGAAGTTGAGTCATACAAAAAATTTCTTAAAAGGTAGTCCGTTTTTATTTGAAAGAATAGTGAGAGCAAAAAAAAAACAACACATGTCATCACAGTTTGAAAGCTAGATATTTCACCATCGAGCGGCGGACGGACCCAGGTTTTGTGTGCGACACACCACCGTATCAACATTTGTATCAAATTATTTTGTTATCCTTCAAGGAATGAGCAAGATATAGATTGGACAATTCCGAGCGGACTCATAGACTGACGAACGCACGGACGCACATACACCGAACTATACGCTTAATTTGTCCACTCAGTAAAGCTCACCGCAAGCGGGCAAAATGTTTAAAGATCCACCGAATAAAAATTTAGTTGTTATGGATGCATCAGAATAAAATGTATGCAGTAATTCTGTACTTTGATTTCCGTTTTATATTAATATATAATGTTTGCTTAAAAGTTATATAAGTAATTAAAAGTTGGTTACACTAAATTATTATTTTTATTATTATTATAATCAAAATTATGATTTAAATTAAAAAAAAAAATTGAACAATTATTCATGTATTTGAACTTAATATCAAAGATAGATTATATGGGCTATTTATATGGTTTGGTAGAAAAGTAAACTTATCTAGTTTATTCCACTTTGTGGCTTCGGTCAACTTCGATAAACCTCCAGTAAACATTTATATAAACAACTTAATTGATCCATGTCACGAATATAACGCGGAAACTGTTGTCAAGGGACAATGAGAGCATAAACAATTTGCATGTGTTTCATTTCAGTTCAGATTTTGAATAAATAAAACATAATGTCTAGATATATAAGTGTCAAATGTTAGTATTAATTGACGAAAGTCCTGAACATCTGTCCAATATATTTGTTTATATTGGTGTACACACAAACATAATTATAACAAGTAATAACTTTCAAAAAGGATTGTCGACGTAGATGACGCAATCATTTTTGAGGATTCAGTACTTTACAGAAAAGAACATTCTTGTTGGAAAGATTTAAGAATGTCATCAAACAGTCATTT